CAACAGGTTATTCTCACAGACCTGTACTGGAATGTCCGAAAGGAAGAGGACAAGACATATAATTGCTCTACCCTAGTACAAACCCAGGAGGTGCATTCATGCCCTTTGGTATTTGGAATGCATGTTTTCAAAACAAAGAGCTATACAGTACATTATACACAGAAAAACAAGGTAGAAAACGGATTGGTTAAATGTAGTTTCAGTTGATGTACACGGTACCTCGTATTTATAAACAGATTGGGTACAAAAAGATGGATTTAGGAGTGTAACTTTGGGAGCACAACTTCTGTGTAAGGTAGGGTGACCAGATAGCAAATGTGAAAAAACGGGACAGGGATGCGGGGTAATAGGCACCTATATAAGAAAAAGTCCAAAAAATGGGACTGTCCCTTTAAAAATGGGACATCTGGTCACCCTAGTGTAAGGTGAATGTAACAACACTGCATGAGATGGCTTCATGGAGACTGGTGTCATAGAACTGGAAGGGACCTTGAGAGGTCATCTAGTCCAATCCCCTGCACCCAAGGCAGGACTAAGTATTATCTAGACCATCCATGACAGGTGTTTGTGCAACCTGCTCTTAAAAATCCCCAATGATGGAGATTCCACAACTTCCCTAGGCAATTTATTCCAGTGCTTAACTACTCTGACAGTTAGGAAGTTTTTCCTAATGTCCAACCTAAACCGCCCTTGCTGCATTTTAAGCCCATTGCCCTATCTTCAGAGGTTAAGAACAACAATTTTTCTCCCTCCTCCTTGTAACAACCTTTTATATACTTGAAAGCTGTTATCTTGTCCCCTCTCAGTCTTCTCTTCTCCAGACTAAACAAAACCAATTTTTTCTATCTTCCGTCACCGGTCATGTTTTCTACACCTTTAATCATTTTTCTAGAACTGTTTTCCTATGCTATATTATTTTTGGCTCATAGTAGTAAACGAGACTGACATTGGTTATTTGGTGTTTTCAGTATATTTCATAACAAAACAAAGTGTGGTCAAGCAACTGACTATACAATTTATCAACACTGCCCTTCATAACCTTGGTACATGGCATAAGGTTAGTCAGGGCACATATGCAGACTGAATGAACACTGCTAGCAAAAACTCCAATTTCAGGCACATGCACATCCTAGAACAAAATACACATATGGCAAGCACTCAAAGAAGAATTTATTTCACCTACATGGATTCTAAATGTAGTCATTGTCATTGCTTAAAATGCTGCCGATACTGTTCTCCAGTTTACCACCTTTTTATATGATATTTTAGGATATATATGAAGCATTTTTCCCTGAAGAGGAGGTTTTAATTACAAATGCTAGGCCAAATTTTGTTGTCACTTACATGAATAAACTCCAGTTGAAGGTGACATGAGATGGTTTTGTTTAACTGAAAGCAGAGTTTAACCCATTCACTTAAAAAGAGTGAATGGACACTTTTGGCCAGATTTTCAACAGTAGGTGAGTTCAGTTACATGCAAGAAAATGCACAGAATGAATATGTGTACAAATCAACTGTGTGTGCGCACATAACCATATTCATAACAGGCCTTGTGAAAATGCAGATGAAAATGAAAATTCACTCTCTGGTTTTAATCAGATTTATTTGTGAGAGTAAATCTCTTCTTAAACCTTGCAATATCTTTTTCATTCTTGTATATTGACAATTTCATTTCAAAGTGATTTTAAAAAAGAAAGAAAGAATAAATTGATGAGTTTCACTCCAATGCCTGTAGTGGTACACTGCTTGGGTGGTTGAAACACAATTGAAGTGTGCACCAATCGCCCACTAATGTTCAGCCTGTCACCTTATTGCTGAAAATGAACCATCTTACTCAACAGATCTGTTCCCTGTGAGCATTCAGAGACATAGCTCCTAACTTCAGGGTCACAAATACACTATTATGTGTTTTATTCATGGTAGCAAACAGATCTAAGAAAGAATGAGCTTGATATCTCTCTTCTTTGCTGCTTTGAGCAGGGAGTTGGACTAGATGACCTCCTGAGGTCTCTTCCAATCCTAATCTTCTATGATTCTATGATTCTTGTGCATCAACAGAATTGTTTACTAAGGCCAGGACCCACAAAGGGACTTTGGTGTTGCAATGCTGAGCTTTGCAACATACCTAACTTTTACGCACCTAGAAAATCTCTGGACAAACACTGCAATCCACAAAGCCTGAATAAGGTGCCTTGGCTCCCTAGTCAATGATTGTGGTGAGATAGGCACCTAAGAAGGTGATCCTCAAAAGGCAGCATGCTGAGCAAGGAGACTGGACCCTGAGACTCCCATCTCTCTGGCAGTTGCCCTAACCACCAGATTATATAATCTAAAAGAGAGGAGGCACTATTTGTTCTCCTCTATACAGTGCTCACTGTTCCTCCATACCACTGGAGGTACAGTGTATAATAATTACTTATATAGAGCCTTATTTTTTTCAAAAGAGCTGTACAAACAGTCCCATTTAACCCTCACATTAATTAATCCTGTAGGACAACGTATTAATATCCCCATTTTACAAGTGGAGAATACAAGAAGGTCAAGGTCAGACAGCAAATAATTGTCAAACGAAGACACAAACCCAAATCTTTCATCTGAGATCCAACCCACTATCTTTCACTGTCACTCAGCTACTTTATTCAACCTTTCTTTGAATCAGTGTTCCCATCTGTATAACAGGTCTAACAATGCTTTGCAGTTATATAACACTTAACTGTAGCTCTCAAAATGCTTTACAAAGATGGGTAAGTATTAATATCCTTATTTTGCACACTGTATAACTAAGTACAAATTTAAATCAATGTGTGAGATAGGCACCACAGTCTAGTAAAGCACATACAAAAATTTTCACTTGAAAAGATATGGGCATTTTAAAATAGGTGGCTAGAAAGACAATTACTTTGCTAATGTAACTACGACTGCTATTAAGTCCCCATTATGATAACATATTTTGGTCTTTCTGTAAGTATAGAATTAAGAAAAGATATGATTAAGAAACATATTTTTGAACTTTGATAAGAAACTAAGCCATTCTGTACTTTTTCAGATTGGAGTATGGACCTAAAGTTATTGTCCCCGATTTTCCTTTCATTTAATCCATATTTGCACAAAGGTCTCTCCATCTTCAATAGATGGGCCCATCAGATCCAGTTCTTCTGTTTTCTCCTGCCTACTCATCCAGTTCTCCATCTTGCCTTGCCCACTGCTCTTGTTCCCTTGCTGCTCCTCCTCCTCCTCCCAGAAACCGCTGGTTTTCATTCCCAACCCCTTTGTTCCTGAAAGATATTCTGGAATTAATGGGCTAGAGTCCATATGAACAAATTTAAATGACTAATACTTAACTATGTCGTAAAACACAAGGTATCATTAACTTTGGTATCCCTAAGGACATAAGGAACTACTTATTCTTGTCAATTCTATCACATTATTGTTCTGCCTCTTGTCTCAATATTTCCTATGGAAAATGCACAGAAAAATTCACCTCCTCCATATGTATGTTTAATTTCTACCTAGGTCCCTAATTTAGGATCTTTGAGAAATCATGTACTGTAGCACCTTGTTCTAGCTTGTGTCAGTGTTTTTGGATCTACCGTTAAGAGTTTAGGGCCACAGAATAGTTTCTTTGCTGGAAAGAAAATCAGTATTACCACCACATGATTTGCATTGGTCAAAGGCAGATTCATTCCATGACCACTGTAAGTATTTTGGAGAGTAACTCTGTCTTCCTGTGTGTTTGTGTTGTCTAACGAAACAGGATCCTGATCTTAGTTGGGTCCTTTGGGAGATACCACAATATAAATAATCAATAATCCAGTCTAGTCGGAGGCTGGTATTGAATTGATTTTCTTCATGATGGCCAAATTGTCCTCCTTGTACCATCACCAGGACTGTTCAGTGCCACCAACAGCAGAGACTAAAAAAGCAACAGCAAGGTATACTGAAGTGATTCCTCACTCTATTATCATCTAACACTAATCAGTTTCAGGACACTATGTGCTGATCCACTAGAAGCACTTTAGGCAGAAGACTGTGTAAGATAGAAAGTCATTAAAACCTGCTCAGTTTTTTGATATTTTAAAAGTCTCCCTATTATAAATTCAATTTTCAGGAGGGTAACAATAAATCAGTTTTTAAAATGTTGAAGTTAGCATAACAGGTCTCAGCCCAGAAAAAAATGATTGTAATAAATTTGTCTTAAAATGACTAACCATGTGCACATTGCAAGAGGAGAAAATGAACATGCTTTTTAAAAAATTCAGATGCTCTAGTACTCCTCTAGTATTCCCATAATTTAAAAATGGCATTGATTTAATACATCTGTCCTCATATTCAATAGCTGTCATAGGAATATTAGGCACATTCATGTCAGAGGAATAGCAGGAATGTTCAAACACAAGGGTATTTTAACAAGAGATTTAGAAATGAACAACAGTATATTATTCTCTCTCTAATTACACATAGGTAGAGAAACTTGGGTGATGCTATTGATTGATTCAGATAATAGAATTATTAAATTTTCCATGAACAGAGGGGACTCTAAGCTAGCAGATTGGTCTGGAAAGGTATAGAAAGAAGTGCCACTTCAGCAGCATTGTTCCCCTCCTTCCTTTGAAAGCCCCTCCACAGATAACTGCAGGGCTGAGCAAGGATGGGGGCAGAGCTCTTCTCCACAAAATGTTCCCTTCCTGTGATAGAGGATATCCAGACTTAATTTAATGCTACTTGAAAGTAGGGGTGTAGCCACAGCTAGGGCTAGGTGAGCTGCAGCCCACCCACTTAGCATCCAGGCCCACCCAAATCTGAGCAGAGGTGTAGTGCTGCCACAGTGGCCCGGAGCAACACTCAGGCACCTGAAATTCAGGATGGAGTGTGGGCAGGGCTGGAGCCATCCGAATACACAGGTTGGGAGGGAGGGAGGGAGTCGTCCCAAGTGTGTGTGGGGAGGTGCCTTGTGCAGGCAGGTCTGGGTGGGGCCAGCGCTGGGGCCGGAGAGAAGCCAGTCTAGGCAACTAGGCACATAACTAGAGACCGGGGCAGCAGTGTGTAAGTGCAGGTTTCACAGACACAGCAGTGCCGGCAGGACAGAGGGACACGACTGGCTGGGCAGACGGAGTCAGAGCCAGAGTTGAGAGAGGCGGGCAGAACTCTAGCTTGTGCACATGGGGCAGCCTCATCTTCTGGTGCCTGCTGAGCGGTAAGGGCCAGCTGGAGGGGGTGGGGAGAGACAGGCCCCCCGATCCCTCCTGCCCCCCCCCCCAGGGTCCCGGATCCCTCCTGCACCCCCCCCAATCCCTCTTCACCCCAGTCCCAGGCTCCGCTATGCCCCCCAGTTCTGCTGCCTCACCCATGTCTCGCACCCCCCTGGGTCCTGCCCCTTCCCCCCTACTCTGGCCCTTGGCCTTTGCCCTCCCCTGTCCAGCCCCCCCACCCCAGTTTTCCCTCCCCTCTCTGGATAAACTTTCTCTCTTCCAAGATGGCGAGGCTCAGGGAACCCGTTTCCCTGGCTGGGTACCCTGTGGCGGGGGTTGGGGGGAAGATGTAGCCTGCGGACTCTGCTCAACTGAAGGGGGGGGGGTCAGTGCCTATTATCTCCCCTCTCTGCCTTAAGGAATGTGGGGAATTTCAGCCCAAAAGGGGGGGGAACTTTTTTTAGCCCAGCAGCTACCCACACTGGAGCATGAGGGCGGGGTCCTCGCTCCATGTGCATTATCAGCTCGACAGATGAAGCCATATCTGGGGGCACCAGGGCTAGGACAAGGGCATGGTGTTGGGGGAGAAGCTGAGCTAGCAGTCTGTCATTGCCCACCCACACAAATTTCCACTCCTAGCTACACCGCTGCTTGAAAGAAGCATTAATCTGAACTTTGCACCTGCACTTTCCTTAGAGCAGGAATTTTATGTAGCCATAGGGTGCCTGGCCAATAGCAGCACAGCTCCTAAAAGAGCCTGGCTGCTGGGGTCAGGGGAAGAGGAGGGCAAAGGAATCAGGGCTCTGAGGTGACTGTGTGAATGAAACTCCCAGAGGTAAAAAGAACAGGAGTACTTGTGACACCTTAGAGACTAACAAATTTATTAGAGCATAAGCTTTCGTGGGCTACAGCCCACTTCAACAGAGGTAAAGCTTTAGTCCCCTTCCCTAGGTATTTCCATAGCAGAATACAATTTGAGCTGTGGTCTGTCAGAAGTACAGAACATGCAGAGATTTTCCATGCCAGAAACGTATGTGTTCAATGGGATATATTCTATCTACTTCATTGAGGTAAATAATGTTATAGCAAGAGCAGAATCACCAACAGCACAGACTTTGTGGTATAACTGGTTTAGTGTCCTTGTGGAAGGCTTATACTGGAAAAACATCAAGGCCTTTGAGGATAAAATGTATTGAGCACAAGAGCACTCTAATATGTGAGGAATCAAAGCCCTACTTGCTAAATGTGTTATGTGAGGCACTGGCTGAGTTTCCAAACAAATAGTTTTCACTTTTTTTGCACCTTGCCTCTGCTGTCACTAGACTCATAGGCACTATGGTGAAGAGGAGAGTAGAAGAATCTGTATAGAATAAATTGACCATACTTCATAAAATACCTTTCCGTTTTAAACCTGGGATTTATAGGGGTATATAATGTAATAAGTATTGAGAAGCTTAAAATTGAAATCCTCTTGGATTGTAGTTAAGCTTATGTGTTAGTGTTCATAGAACCAGGGCACTCATGTTCTCACTTATTGCCAATTATTTACAGCAGAAGTGCTGAACCTGTAAACTGAGGTTACAAAAAAAAAAAAATTCCTTTCGTTAAATACAACAAACCTATAACATTTTAACCCTCCTGCACTGTTTTTCTTGTTTTTCCTTTATTGACATGTATCCCAGTTTGGCGGAACTGTTTGGGCCTTGAGAAATTGAGAAACGTGTTCAGAGGAACATCCTGTAATTCAGAACTTTGAAATGTACTTTTTAGATTCTCAAAAATCAGACCATGTCTGAATTTTCATTTCTTTTGTATTGAATTTTTCCCTCTGTTGACAGGTTGACTCATTTTATCTATCGGTAGCGCAACATTTCTACCACACTCATCAATATGATATCTGAACATTTTGCAAAATTAAATTTATATTAAAAAAAAGATATCCAGTTCTCTCTCTTTCCCTCCCAGTGAGGCTCATGGTCATCCTAATCTTTTGTAAAAATGAATTCCAAAAGTATCCTAGGCTAACAACTGAGAGTTGAGGAGTTATGCGTATTAAATTATAAACATCAAAACTTCAAGGCAAAATATTATTGTAACAATGCCCAATTTTATAAATGGATATTCACTTTTGAAGAAACTCATGAAGAATGAAAATATCTAAAAGAATTTCCTCCACATGTATCCTTGTTTGGAACCTAATATACTTGTTTTTAATCCTTCCACTTTCACATACTGAGCATAAAAATTAACTATGTATTAGCCAGTGTTATTCCTAAGCCAGTAATTCATGCGTGAAATGTCATCCTTAGTCACATTCATAAGCCAATATTAATTCCAGAACAACCAAAAAAAACAACTTTTTTCAGATAATTTTTCCAGTCCAAACAGTAAAGTAAAACATTATAAAATGTATCTTACCTGAGTGTTTGTGGAATGAAGCTGATTCATGTCACGACAGTTTTGAAAGTACAGAAACTGTAAAGACTTTGAATAAGAAAGGATACATTCGTATGGCTCCTGTTCTTGTCCCCACAGCCAGAATTTTCTGAACTGGGTCAAAAGCTAAGGCAGTAGGCAAATAAGGAAAACCATGGCGAACCGTCTGAAACAGAGCAAACAAACACAATTAAAGTATAGGGCCTGTAGCACTAAATTCACTATACATATTGCATATCAACTGCATATAAGTAGAATCTACAAATTGTTCAAAACTGTATTGTTCATAATAAATTTTATCAAAAAAACTATTTTGAAAGATATGCTATTTTCAACCATATAGTTTATTTTCCATCAAAGCTATTTTAAATTATGTATTTTACCCAGTAATATCATTGGATTTTATACATATTTATAGTAACAAAGGAAATGACAAAAAATATGTATGAATGAAAACAACTGATACACGTTGTTCATTTGCTTTATAGATATTCTTTCACACTATCAAAGAGAGCCCTAGATACCAACTGATGACATTACATGAAATGGTGCCTCAGAACACTGCCACAAACAGGAGCAACAAAAAGAAAATGGAATTAGAACAGGAGTTCTCAAAGTAGGGGTCTACTTCAGTTGTCTGGAGGGACACAATCATCCTCCTTTTCTTATCCTTTAATTAAAATATATTATGTTTCTAGTCCTAATAGTTGCAGAGATGAACTTGAAAAAGTGAACTGAGCATAAACTGATGCAGTAATGCATGCCTGAATCTGCAGACACACTGAAACAATAGCAACATAGTCCTTAAACTGGAGATTGTGAACATGTTTTAGGAGGAGGTGAGGAATCTGCCTTTCTGATGTTGCCAAGTGGGAGAAATGCGCCAGCTAGATTACAGCATGGAAAAAATAGTCCTGTAGGGGAAATGTTAAGAATTACTGCACAAGAACGTATATGGCAGCATTACTTCAAAATAAACTGCTTGGTTTTCAGCATCCCAGCCTGAGTTGGAATATTGTGCAATACAAATCCTCAACTGTCATCAAACTTTCAAGGACCACCAAGGTTTTGAATTGGGGCAATATTCTCTACTGTCTCTGTTCTTTGGTTGTCCTCCCCCCCCTCCCCCACCCCCAATTGCCTATTTCACAGAATTTCTTGATAACCAGGATTTCTGTGTTCTTGTGAATTCATTTCCTTCACCGTGAGAAGAAAGCATGATTCTGCACTCTCTACATGGCTTATTTTTGTTGTTAATAATTAAAAGTTCTCTTCTGAAGAAGAAAATATATTTTGCATTTCCAGCCATTCCAGTACCAATAACATTTTCTTGTAGGGTTTTCCTGGCTAGAGCTTCCCTTGGATCTGGAGGCCTGGAAGGTCAAGGATTTTATAAAACCTGTTCTGCGTTTGTGTCCATATTTTTAGCATTTTCTTTTTATTCCCAGTGTTTTTATGGTGTAAAAAGAGTCAGACTTTTCATTCATAAATAACCCTCAAAAGACATGTGGAGGGATGTTTGTGTATTTACATATGTATGAGTAGGGTCGACAATGTAATAGTTCAGAAATCAAAATAACATCCTAGCATTTAAATGAATCGTAAACACGGGATATATTGGTATTCATCTCTTTGAAACGTACTGTGAATGGTGGAGGAACAAGGAAATTGCCTTATGTTAATTCTGTAGCTAAGTACCAGTGATGGACCTCCTTCACAGTCATCCTAATTACCTTTTTGTTCCCAGAGGAACCCCAACTTGTCGAAGAGGACATGAAATTGAATAAAAAATCCTTGGGTCCTGATTCTGTCATCTCAGATTTCCTTAAGCTTCACCAGGGGAAGTTTGAGTCACAAGACTGAGGTCCCAGTTAGGCTGGTAAGCCCTGAATGCGATATTTGGGCATTGGACTATAATTTATTAACTGAATTCTAAAGGAACTCTTTGCAACTATAAAGCTCACCATCTCTGCTATGAATCTAAACGTCAATGAATTGAACTCATGTCTGTATGTATACTGGTCTTTCTCTCTCTCTCTTGTTTTTTAATAAATTTTAGTTTAGTTAATAAGAATTGGCTGTAGCTGTATTTGGGTAAGATCTGGAATATTCAATAATCTGGGAGGTAATGCATCCGATCCTTTGCGATTGGTGGAACGTTTTCTTTTATATGATGAAATAAGATTTTAAGGAATCATCATATTTGACTTAGGTAGATGGAGTCCTGAGGCTGGATCACTTTAAGGGAACTGTGTTGTTTGGACTTCTGAGTCACCAGTGAGGTAATAAAGAAGCTGTTTTATGCTGTCTTGGTAAATCTAAATATGGAATATCCACCAGCTTTATGGGAATTGTCTGCCCCATTCTTTGCAGTTCACCCTAATTGAGTGACCACAGCTGGCCCCCACTGGAACCCCGGTCACAAACTGCATTTTCTGTAGAGATCAACATGATTTTTTTTTTTACATTAAGTGGAAGACTCAATTCCAGGAACAGAGAAAAAACCATCTGTGTGGCTGACAGCATTCTTTCAAAAGACTGACCCATGAACAGCCAATCGTTGAGGCACAGGAATACTAAAATCGTCTCTCAATGAAGGTAAGCAGCCACCGTTAGAATCTTTGAAAACACTCTTGGAGCTGTGGTGAGTCCAAAGGGGAAAACTCAGTATTGAAATGATCCTGGTCCGTAACAAATTTTTGTTTTGTTTTCTGTGAGATGGATGTATCACTGTATGGCAATATGCATATTGTAGGTCAAGGGCCAAAAAACAATCCCTTGAATTTAGTGAAGAAATTATAGCTGCCAGAGTCATGATCATGAACTTCTGAGACTTTACAAAATTGGTTTAGTAGTCTTAAAACTAAAATCAGTCTCCACCTTCCATTTTTCTTTGGCATGAGAAAGTATCTTGATTAGAAGCCCTTTCCCTCCATGTTGAGTAGAGACAGCCTCTATCATTCCTAAACAAAGAAGGGAGTTTATTGCCCGTCTCAGGAAGTGCTAGTGAGAGGGGTCTCCATGGGTGGCGGGTATAATAGGCCAGTGGTGGCTCAGCCTCCCTTGGTGCTGCTGCAGCCAACAGACGCCCTGGTTGCAGGGTTTTGAGGGGAAGTTTTTATTTAGTCTGCCTGTGGTGTGAGAAACTGCTACCTGTGGGAATTTGCTACCTGTAGCAGTTACTCATATGTAAGGGATTGTAAAAAACTGCTATCTGATGTAGCAAATTCCCACAGATAGCAGTTTCTTGAAGTACACCAGTCGCGGGGGGCTAGCAGGGGGGTCTCAGGGCTCTGGCCAGCTCGGGGCTCCTCTGGCCGCAGGGGGGCAGTGAGGGGGGTCTCAGGGCTCCGGCCACGGAGGAGGGAACAGAAGGGATGCAGCCATGGCTAGCCTCCCCAAAGGGGGGCTCCACCTGCCACCCATGGGGGTCCCTGAAGAGGGATGGAGAAGAAGGGTGGAAAGGAGGGAGGGAGGGAGGTAAAGTGGATGTAGCTCAATGTTACAATCTCCAAGACCCACTGTCTGTAGTAATCCACTCCCAGGCATAACAAAAATCAGAAAGTCTGTCTCCAAATGTGGAGAGGTGGCAAATTGTTGCAAGTGGTGAACTAAAGACTGGAGAGGTTGCAAACCATCAACCAACCCATCAAAACTAGTGTTTCAGTAAGGATGCTCGTTGAATATTCAGGCCTGATGGATGAGTGATTCTCTTCCTCTGGAACCTATGGATTTTGCAAAACGGGGAGTCTTTGCAAACCAGAGAATTGGGTTGGAAGGGAACACTGGGTGCTTTGTGACCTACCAAATTTTCTTTTGTTTGTAAGGGTATAAATTCCCAGAGATTGTAAAGTGGCTTTGGAGTCTTTCAAAGAGCACAGGAACTCATCCATGTTCTCATCAGAAAACAACTTCAAACCATCAAAAAGGGAGGTCCTGTGCAGTTCTCTGGACCTCTCCAGGAAAGCGGGACAGTTGGATCCAGAATGCCGTGCACATAACTACTGCTGTAGAATGATGTCTGCTACATCTAAGGACACCTGAAGGGATGTCCTGACCAGTAACTGCCCCTTAGCAATGATGGCCTGAAAATGCTTACTCTTTTCCAGTGGAAGGTGCAGTAAATTTTGTGTAGTTTATGTAATTATATTTTGCCATGACTGCCTGGTAATTTGTGATAAAAAACTGTAAGATTGCAGATGAGTAAGATTTCTACCTGACAAGGTCCACGCCCTTCTCGTCTTTGTCATATGGGGTCAGCTTGGTGCAATGTTGTTTCCCCCACTCATTCACCACATCCACCACCAGAGAAATAGATGGAGGTGAGAATAAAAATTCAGAGTTTTAATTTAGCTAAACGTAAATGTATAATACAGGAACAAAGAATGTAGGCCATACTTACAGGATGAGAGACTATCCTGGGAATCGGTGACTCTGAAAAAGATTTAGGGGTAATGTTGGATAATCAACTGAACATGAGCTCCCAATCTCCCAGTGCAATCCTGGGATGCATAAACAGAGGAATCTCAAGTAGGAGTAGAGAGGTTAATTTTACCTCTGTATTTTGCAGTGGTGTGACTGCTGCTAGAATACTGTGTCCACTTCCGGTGCCCATAATTCAAGAAGGATGTCGATAAATTGGAGAGGGTTCAGAGAAGAGCCACAAGAATGACTAACGAATTAGAAAACGTGCCTTAGCCCTGGTCTACACTCATAGAATCATAGAATATAAGGGTTGGAAGGGACCCCAGAAGGTCATCTAGTCCAACCCCCTGCTCGAAGCAGGACCAATTCCCAGTTAAATCATCCCAGCCAGGGCTTTGTCAAGCCTGACCTTAAAAACCTCTAAGGAAGGAGATTCTACCACCTCCCTAGGTAACGCATTCCAGTGTTTCACCACCCTCTTAGTGAAAAAGTTTTTCCTAATATCCAATCTAAACCTCCCCCACTGCAGCTTGAGACCATTACTCCTCGTTCTGTCATCTGATACCATTGAGAACAGTCTAGAGCCATCCTCTTTGGAACCCCCTTTCAGGTAGTTGAAAGCAGCTATCAAATCCCCCCCTCATTCTTCTCTTCTGCAGGCTAAACAATCTCTATGCAGGCTAAACAATCCTTAACACTATGGGGTTAAGTCGAATTTAGCTGCGTTAGGTCGATTTTAAAATGAATGCGTCTACACAACTAACCCCTTTCCGTCGACCTAAAAGGCTCTTAAAATTGACTTCTGTACTCCTCCCTGGCGAGGAGAGTAGCGCTAAAATTGACCTTGCTGGGTCAAATTTGGGGTAGTGCACACGCAATTCGACGGTAATGGCCTCTGGGAGTTATCCCAGAGTGCTCCAATGTGACTGCTCTGGACAGCACTTTGAACTCCAATGCACTAGCCAAATACACAGGAAAAGCCCCAGGAAACTTTGAATTTCATTTCCTGTTTCGTCAGCTTGACAAGCTCAGCAGCACAGGTGACCATGCAGTTCCCCCAGAATTGCAAATGAGCTCCACCATGGACCAAAAGAGAGATACTGGATCTCACTGCTGTGTGGGGAGAAGAATCTGTGCAGGCCAAACTCCGGTCAAAAAGAAGAAATGTTAATATATATGCCAAAATCACACAGGGCATGGTGGAGAGAGGCTACAACAGGGACACTCAGCAGTGCCGCATGAAAGTTAAGGAGCTCAGGCAAGCCTACCAAAAGACAAAGGAGGCAAATGGTCGCTCCAGGTCAGAGCCCCATACGTGCCACTTCTATGATCAGCTGCATGGCATTCGGGGGGGGACCCTACCACTATCCCACCACTGTCCATGGACACCTGCAAGGGGGGAGTCTCACGCAACAGGGAGGAGGATTTTGTGGATGAGGAGGAGGAGGAGGAGTTGTTGGAGAATGCGCAGCAGGCAAGCGGTGAATCCGTTCTCCTCAGCAGCCAGGACCTTTTCATCACCCTGGAGCCAATACCCTCCCAAGGCGGGATCCCCGACCCTGAAGCTGGAGAAGGCAGCTCTGCACATTTGTAACTACAGTACAGGGTTTAAAAGTAATAGTGTTTAATGTTTGATTTGCCCTAAATAATTGGGATGAATTCGCGGCCAGTACAGCTACTGGGAAAGTCTGTTAACGTGTCTGGGGATGGAGCGGGAATCCTCCAGGAACATCTCCATGAAGCTCTCCTGGAGGTACTCTGAAAGCCTTTGCAGAAGCTTTCTGGAGAGGGCTGCCTTATTTCGTCCTCCACGGTAGGACACTTTACCACGCCAAGCCAGTAGCAAGTAGTATGAAATCATTGCTGCACAAAGCATGGCAGCGCATGGTCCTCGGTATTGGTCACATTCAAGCAACATTCGGTCTTTATCTTTCTGTGTTAGCCTCAGGAGAGTGATATCATTCATGGTCACCTGGTTGAACTAGGGGGATTTTTGTAAGGGAACAGTAAAAGGACCCCGTTCATGCTGGGTTGTTTGCGCTTGGCTAAAAGGGATCATCCCGGAGAATAGCCACACTGCGGGGGAAGCGGTGAAGAGATAATCCCAGAGAATAGCCATGTGGCGGCACGGGGGGGAGGTGTGTGCTGCACATCCACCCGAAAACCGCAGCCCCTCCTTTTAAATGTGAAACCCACTCGGCATTGCTTGCTATGGGAAAGAATGGCGCTGCACTTTGAAACCATTCCCACATGTTATGAAGGGGTAAGAAGCCAACCCTGCATACCAACAGGCTTACTATGGCTGCCTGGAAACTGAATTCTGTTGCCCAGCTGTCTGTGATGTGTCACCATACCAGCTCAATATAAAAAGCAAAATGCGACCTTGTACCTAAAGCACATGTGCTGTCTGCTGTGAATTGCTTGATTCACTGTGAAAGAGTCTCCCTTTTGTTCTCAGAAATGTATCATCTAAATTTTACTCTCCCTTTTTATCTCCCCCTGATGCAAATGTTTCTATGCTCCCCCCATCATGTCCGTACCTGAGGTTATCGCAGATTAGAAGGCAAAAAAAACCGCACTCGCGATGACATGTTTCCCGAGCTCATGCAGTCCTCCCGCACTGATAGGGAACGGCTTAATGCATGGAGGCATTCAGTGGTAGAGGCCAGGAAAGCATTAAGTGAGCGCAAAGAGCAGAGGCAGGAGGCGATGCTGAGGCTAATGGGGGAGCAAACAGACATGATGAAGCGTCTATTGGAGCTGCAGGAAAGCCAACAAGAGCACAGCCCCCCGCTGCATCCATTGTATAACCGCCTGCCCTCCTCCCCAAGTTCCATATCCTCCTCACCCAGACACCCAAGAACGCGGGGGGGGGGGGAGGGGGAGGTGCTGGCGCCAGGCACCCAGCCACTCCACTCCAGAGGATGGCCTAAGCAACAGAAGGCTGTCATTCAAACAGTTTTGATTTGTAGTGTGGCTACAATAAGCATGTGGCCTTGTCCTTCCCTCTCCTGCACCCCACCCAACCCGGGCTACCTTGTCAGTTATCTCACTTTTTTTTCTAATTAATAAAGAAAGAATGCATGGTTTCAAAACAATATAGTTACTTTATTTCCTTTGCCAGCTGCGATCGAAGGGGGGAGGGTGGTTGGCTTACAGGGAATTAAAATCAACAAAGGGGGCGGGTTTACAGCAAGGAGAAACACACACAACTGTCACACCGTAGCCTGGCCAGTCATGAAACTGGTTTTCAAAGCTTCTCTGATGCGCAGCGCGCCTAGCTGTGCTCTTCTAAATCACCCTGGTGACTGGCTGCTCAAAATCGGCCACCAGGCGATTTGCCTCAACCTCCCACCCTACCATAAACGTCTCCCCCTTACTCACACAGATATTGTGGCGCGCACAGCAAGCAGCAATAACAATGGGAATGTTGGTTGCGCTGAGGTCTAACCTAGTCAGCAAACAGCACCAGCAAGCTTTTAAATGTCCAAAGGCACATTCTACCACCATTCTGCACTTGCTCAGCCTATAGTTGAACAGCTCCTGACTACTGTCCAGGCTGCCTGTGTACAGCTTCATGAGCCATGGGAGCAAGGGGTAGGCTGGGTCCCCAAGGGTAACTACTGGGATTTCAACATCCCCAACAGTAATTTTCTGGTCTGGGAAGTAAGTCCCTTCTTGCAACTGCTCGAACAGTTCGGAGTTCCTAAAGATGTGAGCGTCATGCACCTTTCCCAGCCATCCCACGCTGATGTCGGTGAAATGTCCTTTGTGATCCACTAGTGCTTGCAGCACCATTGAGAAGTACCCCTTGTGGTTTACATACTGGTTGGCAAGGTGGTCCGGTGCAAAGATAGGGATATGCATTCCATCTATCGCCCCACCATAGTTAGGGAACCCCATTGCAGCAAAGCCATCCAGTATGACCTGCACGTTTCCCAGAGTCACTACCCTTGCTGGCAGAACGTCAGTGATTGCACTGGCTACTTGGATCACAGGAGTCCCCGCAGTAGACCTGCCCACTCCAAATTGATTCCTGACTGACCGGTAGCAGTCAGGCGTTGCAAGCTTCCACAGGGCTATCGCCACTCGCTTCTCAGCTGTCAGGGCAGCTCTCATCTTGGTATTCCTGCACGTCAGGGTGGGGGAAAGCAACTCACAAAGTTCAAGGAAAGTGGCCTTACGCATGTGAAAGTTTCGCAGCTGCTGTGAATCATCCCATACCTGCAACACTATGCGGTCCCACCAGTCTGTGCTTGTTTGCCGGGCCCAGAATCGGTGTTCCACTGTATCAACCAGCCCCACTGCCGCCATGATGTCCCAATTGCCACAGCCCGTGCTTTCAGGAACGTCTGTGTCCATGTCCTCATCACAATCACTCTCATGCTGGTGTGCTTAGCCCAGTTCTGCACATACTCCAGGATAATGCGCAAACCGTTTACAATGCTCACAACAGCAGCGGTGACAGTGAGCTGAGCGGGCTCCATGCTTGCCGTGGTATGGCGTCCGCACGAGTAACCCAGGAAAAAAGGCACAAAACAATTGTCTGCCATTGCTTTCATGGAGGAGGAAGGGCCATCTGACGACATGTACCCAAAACCACCCTTGACAATGTTTTTGCCTCATCAGGCATTGGGAGTTTAACTCAGAATTCCAATGGGCAGCGGAGACTGCAGGAACTATGGGATAGCTACCCACAGTGCACTGCTCCGTAAGTAGATGCTAGCCATGGTATTGAGGACACACTAGGCTGACTTAAGGCGCTTAGTGGGGACATACACAATTGACTGTATACAATCAATTTCTAAAAATCAAATTCTATAAAATTGACCTAATTTCATGGTGTAGACATACCCTTATAGTGATAGACTCAAGGAGCTCAATCTATTTAGTGTAACAAACAGAAGGTTAAGAGGTGACTTGACTACAAGTTATAAGTACCTGCATGGGGAACAAATATTTATTAAAGAGCTCTTCAATCTAGCAGACAAACGTATAACAAGCTATAAAGGCTGAAAGTTGAAGATAGACAAATTCACGCAGGAAATAACGTATACATTTTTAACTGTGAGACGAATTAATCATTGGAACAATTTACCAAGGATAATGGTGAAGTCTTTATTACTGACCATTTTTAAACCAGGATTACAATGAGGAGTCCGGTGGCACCTTAAAGGCTAACAGATTTATTTGGGCATAAGCTTTCCTGGGTAAAAAACCCACTTCTTCAGATGCAGGATTGGATTTTTTCTAAAAGATATGGTCTATGAATTATTTTGGGGAAGTTCTATGGCCTGTATTATACAGGTGGTCAAGCTAGATGATCATAATGGTCCCTTCGGCCCTTGGAATCCATGAATTATGCCAAACCAACCTAATTTCCTTCTTTGACAAAATTACTGGCCCAGTAAATGGTGAGGGGAGCTGTAGGTGTGACAGATCTTGGTTTCTGGTAAAGCTTTTGATGCAGTCCCACATGATAGTCTCATAAGCAAACTAGAGAAATGTGTTCTAGATAAAATTACTATAAAATGGGTGCAAATCTGGTTGAAAGATTGTACTCAAAGAGTAGTTATCAATGCTTCACAGCCAAACTGGAAGGATGTATCTAGTGAGATCCTGCAGGGGTTTGTCCTGGGTCCGGGACTATTCAATATTTTCATTAATTACTTGGATAATAGATTGGAGAGTATCCTTATCAAATCTGTGGGCAAAACCAAGCTGGGAAGGATTGCTAGCACTTTGGAGGATAAGGATTAGAATTCAAGATGACCTTGACAAATTGAAGAACTGGTCTGAAATCAACAAGATGAAATTCAATATAGACAAGTGCAAAGTACTACACTTAAGAAAAAAATCAAATGCCCAAATACAAAATGGGGAATATCTGACTAGGCAGTAGTACCTCTGAAAAGGATCTGAGGTTACAGTGGATCACAAATTGATTATGAGCCAGCAATACGATACAGTTGAGAAAGAGGCTAATATCATTCGGGGGGGTGGTGTATTAATAGGAATGTCGTACGTAAGACATAGGAGGTAATTATTCTACTCTACTCAGTAGTGGTGAGGCCTCAGCTGGAGCTCTGTGTCCAGTTCTGGGCACCACACTTTAGGAAAGATGTGGACAAGTTAGAGAGTCCAGAGAAGACCAACAAAAATGATCAAAGGATTAGAAAACCTCACATATGAGGAAAGGTTAAAAAAAACTGGGCATGTTTAGTCTTGAGAAGAGAAGTCTGAGGGGGCCTGATAACAGTCTTCAAATAATTTAAGGGCTGTTATCAAGAATATGGTGGTCAACTGTTTTCCATGTCCACTAAAGGTAGGCCAAGAAATAATGGACTTAATCTGCAACAAGAGAGATTTAGGTTAGATATTAGGAAAACTTTATAACAATAGTGAAGCACTAGAACAGGCTTCCAAGGAAGCTTGTGAAACCTCTGTCAATGTAGGCTTTTAAGAACAGGTTAGATAAACCCCTGTCAGAGATGGTCTAGATTTACTTTGTCCTGCCTCAGTTAAGGTGGCTGGACTTGATGATTTCTCAAGGTCCCTTCCAACCTACGTGTCTACGATTCTATATAGGAGACTTGTGTATGGATTGAGTCCTATCTAGCTAATAACTAAGAGGTCTTATCTTTTAGACTACTTGTATGTAATCTGACTCTCCTCAACAAACGAGGTCCAGGGTAACTACTGGGAACTTAACTTACTGGTTTAGATGAAATTCAGATACCATCTTCATAAAAAATTTAGGATGTGGGCACAGAACCATATTATCCTCATAGAATACAGTAGGGATGTTCAACCATCAGGTTTGTGATGTCGATTTAGCAGGTCTACTGAAGATCTGCTAAATCAACGGCAAAGCACTCTCCAGTCAACTATGGTACTCCAGCTCCCCAGTAAAGTAAGTCAGCTGGAGAGCATCTCCCATCGAAGCAGTGCAGTGAAGACACTGGGGTAAGTCGACCTAAGTTACATCAACTCCAGCTACATTATTCACGTAGCTGGAGTAGTGTAACTTGGTCAATTTATCGCGATAGTGAAGACAAGCCCTAAGTCTCCATGATGGTCGTATAATCACTTAGAATACAATCTATAAAAAGGAGAATGCTCATTGTACAATATAATGGTTCAAATGAAGATGATTAGCAGCAAACAGGCAGGAAGATGTAAAAAGTAGCATGAAGGAAGAATAGAGTTCAATATACTTAAGCATATGACAGGCTGCTTAGTGGATTTTGAGACAGCTCAAAGAAAATCTGGATTATATGGGTGCTAAATTGAGGGACATAAATACCAGTGGAGCACTGTACTAAAGAAAGACCCATAATGCAAACCTCTTCCACTTTGTAGCACAGACATTTATTTTTGAAGGCTTCTGACACTAGCAGAATTTCTTGAGATTCCCAGTAACAAAAAAGGCTCAGTCCACGGATGCAGCCAAGTTCCACTCAACACAATTGAAGATAAGGGGACAAAAACAGCATTATGGCTCAAGGCATGGCACAATTTGGAACAGCCTTGGGACTACTGGAGGTTGTGCCTGGCTTGAACAGCCACCAACAAGCCAGTCTATCAACCAGGGATTGCTGGAATGCAGCTACGTTTCAGCCCACCTTCTCCCTGACCAGACTTCAACATGCCCCCTATGCCAGGGACTATGTGAAGTGTGGTGTACAATTGATCATGTTCCCCTATATTTCAGGAATTCCCCAAAACCTGGTGAAGCTCCAGAGGAACAAAGGGGCTATACCAGGGCTGACCATCTGGCCCTAAAAGTCTTGTTTGCATCATGCTTCCAGGCCATAAGATCCACTGGATCTTGAAGAACCTGATCTCAATCTAATGATACATCTGGAAGAACTGGAAGTTGAACTGGAGGTTTCACTAGCAGAGTCAGAGATCTAACCAACCAAACTAATGAGGACATATGAAAACCAGTAACATGGAATCCGGAATCCTGTCTGATTTTCCTAAGAACTCTTGTCAGCGGAGGTAAGAAGGGGAAGTAGTACAAGAGCATGTTAACTTAGAGAGGCAGAAGCACGTGGGCTGGTGTTGCACTCTACCCCATACTTTGGGCTATGCCTAGGGTGACCAGATGTCCCGATTTTATAGGGACAGTCCTGATTTTTGGGTCTTTTTCTTATTACCTATTACCCCTCACCCCCTGTCCCGATTTTTCACACTTGCTGTCTGGTCACCCTAGCTGTGGCTAACAGGCACAGTATAGCCCTAAACTATGGATACTAAAATAAGAAAATATCAACAAAACTAGAAATCATGTACATGATTAAATTGTCTAAATAGCAGATAGTGGGATCACAAAGGGAATCCTAAAATAGCAGCCCTGTGCTCTGTGGATTGTAGGCACTACTTATTCTTGCCATGAAAGAAGGAGCCAAAAAGAGCAACAGAGAAGGCAGTGAGGAGATCAGGCTTCTCACCACATAATCCCAGCTTCTGTCTCCTTTTTTGGCATCTTGATCCCTGGAGGCAGAAGAATGGAGCAATACCTATGCTCCTCAGATCACTTCAAGTGTATACCAAATATATACAATGTTTTCTTCTAAACAAAACAAACCAAGCTGAGGATACAACTTTAACCAAAATCCTTCTTCAGCATTTTGAATTCCTTTTTCAAAGGCAATGAGTTGGAATAAACTTTACCCCACCAATATGCATGTATAGCTCATTAATATTCTTTATGCAAATAAATTATCTAGACTTATGTAGGAATAAGATTAATTGGGTCTGACAGCATTTCATGCATAAAACTGAAAACATTACCAAAACTGTATAGAACACAACATAGTCATTTCAGTTCAATTAAGCTACACAGGAGATGTAATCAGATTCTTTTGTAGCTGTAGCAACAAAATCCCACTAGAATTTAGTGTGCATGCAACGATATAATTATTTATACAGTGATGATAGCTTCTAATAACTCTTGTCCTATGGTAAGATATATTAGCTTGTAAAGCTATTTCCTTACAAAGTATTTTTGATCTTCCATAAATAACTCCAGAAAATACAGACTTTAAAATTGATTTTAAAGGGTTTCCATGAAGTAACACAGTATATGCTCAAAAATCGCTTGTGTGTAATCTGTCTAATAATGTAAAATTTATTGAAGCCTGGAGTTCTGTTAATATTTTATAGATAAAACATTTTGGGGGTCAAATTTGAAAGCAGGATTGATTTATTCAGGTGTGTAATTATTTGATAAAATACTCTTTTTGGGGGGTTAAAAATGGATAATGATGCCCAGCGTTATGAGTCAGGATGCTAGATTCTATTTCTAGTGTGCCACCAACATGCTTTGTCTCCTTACATAAGTCACTTACACCCTTTGAACCCAGTTTAGCAAAGTATTTAAGCACATGCTTAAGTCCATCCCTATTCAAAAAGCACATAAGCCCCATGCTTAACTTTAAGCACATGCTAAATCCCATTGATGTGTACAGGACTTAAACAATTACCTAAAAATAAGCCTATGCTTAAGTACTTTGCTGAACAGGGATGAACTTATGAACTAGGGCCTTTGTGCTTCAAGGATGCTCTTACCCAGCTTTGTAAGAAATGTATAAATATCAATTATTATTACTTTTATTGATGTTGAATGCAGAGGTGAAAGGGGGCTTCAAAACAGTGCATTGCTATATGTGGTGGAGCCAAGCACAACCATGCTCTCCTTCCTTGATGGGTCTTTGTGCCTGGACCTGCCCCACTGAGTTCTGTACTCACTGCCCACAAAAGGTGGAGAGAGTGAGCAAATCGATATTGGGATTCCATCCCAAGACTAAGGAGACACAAGACAATGCTGAGAACACAGCAGGCTTCCTCCCGAGACAACACCTACGAGACAAGATAATGAAATGCTCTGAGGTTTTTTATGCTTCTCAGTTTCTTGTCGAAATTGAAACATTTGCCATTTTAAAAAAAAGTTTGGGGTTTTGCCCGTTCCTCATTTTTCCTTTATCCCTGTCTGCCACAGAATGCACCAGAATGAACTCTGTCTAGGATTTTGTCCCTTTTGCTATTCTGTAACTGCACCCATCGACTTTAACCAACAATATCTGTGATGTTTAGATCAACCAAAGATCTTGTTAAAGTTGATGGGTGCACTAAGTACCCTTCATTTCGGCTTAAATTGCTCCTTCCATTTAATACCCTTTTGTGTAGGGATAGCTGAAACAACAGATGCCATTGCCCAAAGGCCATCATGGCAAGGCTTGAGCAGAAGCTAAGCGATAGGGACAGAGGAACACAGGGGCTGGGAATTGATTGGTGACAGCTGTATGTGTCTGCCTGTCAGAAAGGCAAAAAGCAATGAAAAAGCCAAGAGAAAGCCAGCAGACAAAGCAGTAGTCCCCCATTTTGTAATGTAACGTACACACTTGGCATACTCAATATGAGCGATCACAAGCATGACCCTGCCAGGGAGCAGAGACAGAGTTCTTTGTGGCACAAGACTTGCTGAAAAAGCAAGCTTGCCAAGGGATGTGGTAGATTCTCCTTCACTTAAGTCTTTAAATCAAGACTAGATATCTTCCTAACAGATATATTATAGCTAAAACATAAGTTTTAGGCTTGATGCAGGAATTTTATTGAGTGAGGCCTGATTTCTGAAGGAGATTAGACTAGATCAGAACAGTCCCTTCTAGCCTTAAAATCCATATATTTATGAAAATGAGCATTAGAGCACACTGCAAAGCCCGTTTATTTTCAGAGCCTTTGGGACAAGTTGTCTGGTTATACTAATGTAAGGGTTAAGGTTTTGGTAATGGATTTATGAGTACAGTTTAATTGTATTTTTAGTATATATCAAAGACAACTGAAACCATGGATAATAATAAACCTTTTTTTAATGTTACTAAATACATAAATAAATAATATTGACACATATTAGTTGTGTATAGTATATCCTGTAAAAGTGTTTCAGATTCTATTTTTAACTATCTCAATCAAATGCTTCATATAAAGAATGAAACTGGACTTCATCAACAAATATATTTGTAGTCACTATTGTAATTCCTTCCGGTGCCTAAGAAAAGTTATGCTTATGTATTTATATTAGCTTCATTTTTGTTTTTCTTTAAAAGTAAAAATAGTATAAATCACATGCCCATATAATTTCTATGTTACCTAACACAGTCACCAAACTGTAACATCCTAAATGCATTCTGCTGAGTCAAGATGATTGCCATTGCATTTATCATCTTTCGGCACAATTCCCAGAAATGGTTCAGCTCTAGTTGTACGACGTGAATTTACAATATTGTGTGCTCTAAACTCCATAGTTTTTCTACCTGAGAAAGCTAGCAAATTGTGGTTACTACTTTTAAATCTGTTAAGATTAATAGTTATTTGGCACTTAATGCAAATATACTGATCAGAATGCACTTTATTTAGAGTTGTTTTGAATTTTATATAAGCCTCAATAAGAACTAATTTATAACTCATCTTTAATCTATGTACCATTAAAATAAAGCATTGATTATTTGGGTGGGGGGATAAACATGCAAAATTATATGTGGCACTTATTAATTCTGTATTCTAATGAATTATGGTCTTCCATTTTTAGTAAAGTATTTCTTATTTTTAAAAATTACAAAAATAACTAATACAAATCCAGTTCAAATCAGTAAGTTTCTACAGCTGATTAAAAAACACAAGAGCAAATCTAGAATGTCTCTAGAAACATATAGTACTTTGGAAATGGACATTACCATGAGCCAAATCATGCCTCTAGGAAGAAAACTACATGTTAGTGCCAGGAGCTTTCAGAAGGTATCCCTCCCTCATGGAGTTTTCCTCCACATTTGTCTTTTGGGGGCAAGGACCCTGAACCAGCAGATCTCCAGAGATCTCAGGAATCTGCTACAGGACAAAGCCAGCCTATACAGACCCTGTGTCCATATGTTGTTGCATAGGTCCTTTGAAGCTTTCCCCCAAGCTCCCTGTTGGTATGGTTGACAAGGGCTGCCTCCTGATGGCTGCTGCCCCTGTAATTCCTTTAAATGGAGTTTCCACATTGCAAAAAAGAGTCCTTTCAGGAATTAATATAGCCACAGTCTGTATTAACGTCTAAGCAGATTATTTGTGTAGTTGAAAGAGGGACAACATGATTTTCACCCCTGGCCCTCCTGTCCCCTCAGGGTGTGTCTATACTGCAACTAGGCACCCATGGCTGGCCCATGCCAGCCGACTCAGGCTTGTGAGGCTATTTCATTGCAGTATAGACTTCTGAGCTCAGGCTGGAGCCAAGCTCTGGGACCCTCCCACCTCACAGATCCCAGGACCAGGAACTTTTGTAGGGTCTAGGTGAAGGGAAGGTACAATGCCACAAAGTCAGCTAACCCTAATCTTCTATATGGACAGGAAGATATTGGCTCGCAGAGGGTCCCCTCCCCATATAGATCAATGAAGCATAATATTGCCTATGTTTTCTACTTTTTCCAAAACATGTCGCTTACTGTTCTTAATGCAATAAAATCCTTTTCTACTTTTAAAAGTGACTGAAAACTGGAATTGTGAGGCTCTATGCTTAATGTCACCCTGATTTCCATATCAAATGTGCTCATTTTACTGGTAAAAAGATTTTTTCTGTCACTGTCAGCCCTGGGATCTGAGAGTCATGCTTGGTTCTTTCCTTCTCATGCATCATCACTTGTAATAAAAACTCTGCAAGGCAAAAATAAGCTGTTAATGACACCTGCCTTCAAAGGGCTTGAACAGGTATAACTGTGAGGAATTTAGTAAACAATTCCGTTGATGATGCACTAAAGCAGTGCTTTTCAAACTTTTTTCATTTGCGGATCCCTACAAAATTTCGAATGGAGGTGTGGACCTCTTTGGAAATCTTAGACATAGTCTGCAGACCCCCAGGTTGAACACTACTGCACTAAAGAGACAGAAACCAGCTAACTCTTGCTTAGTTCTATTGACTCCGACTCTGCAAGGCTAACAGGAGTAGAATTCCGTGAAAAATTATTTTAGTCACTGAAATCAGAAGATCTGACTCTGGTATTTCCTGGGAGAAGATCTGTTCAGGTGAAGGTGTCATGATATTTACATAGCCACTTTTCAGCGTATTACCACACGTTAACCTTTTTTCTCTTCTGAATTCTTATTCAATTAAAAAGCTGCATTTTAAAAGATTATTTAACGAAACACTGAAGAATAGTGAGAAATTTCTGTCCTTGACTGAAAGACAAAACTAGACTTTAAACTGAGACTTTTAGCATTTTGATTTCATAAATATCACACACTATCAATTATGTTTACGTAAAGAATTCACAGGTGTATGTAATTAGCATTTGAATTAACAAATTAGCCTGTATCATACAATTAATTTTTTTGTATTATGTACAGGCAGAGCCCTTTTTCCTTGGAAACAAGCACCTTAACATGTGCTACATTGCTTTCATATAATTATATAAACAAATGTTTTTGATATAATTCAGTAATAATCCTACTTCAAGAAAGAAATAACATTACAAAAATTCATATCAAGCTCATCTTTTTTTCTAATATGTCATTTTCATTTGACTGTTTCCAAAAAGTCTACATACAGTATATTTGGCTCATCAACAAATTTTTATTATTAATACACTGTACTTCTGCAAGGCATTAAATAAATTCTGAATTCACTCCCTCATGTTATTTTGGCCTTGAAAGGGGTGGTGATATAAAACTACATCTTTCAGAGAAGTAATTTATTTTAAAAACCCAAACATCTAAAACCAGAAACAAAATCACAACAGTAAAGGAAAAAATCCTACAATCCTTACTCAAGAATCCTCTCTACATAAGAAAAATCCATATAAGACCAAGAAACTCAAGGAGTCTGATTTTCCACTGTCCTTCCTCAGAATACAGATTTCAGAGTAACAGCCGTGTTAGTCTGTATTCGCAAAAAGAAAAGGAGTACTTGTGGCACCTTAGAGACTAACCAATTTATTTGAGCATAAGCTTTCGTGAGCTACAGCTCACTTCATTGGATGCATACTGTGGAAAGTATAGAAGATCTTTTTATACACACACAGCATGAAAAAATGGGTGTTTACCACTACAAAAGGTTTTCTCTCCCCCCACCCCACTCTCCTGCTGGTAATAGCTTATCTAAAGTGATCACTCTCCTTACAATGTGTATGATAATCAAGGTGGGCCATTTCCAGCACAAATAGGAGTACTTGTGGCAAATACTCACCAGCAACCACATACCACACAACAGAACCACTAACCCAGGAACCTATCCTTGCAACAAAGCCCGTTGCCAACTGTGCCCACATATCTATTCAGGGGACACCATCACAGGGCCTAATAACATCAGCCACATTATCAGAGGCTCATTCACCTGCACATCCACCAATGTGATATATGCCATCATGTGCCAGCAATGACCCTCTGCCATGTACATTGGTCAAAGTGGACAGTCTCTACGTAAAAGAATAAATGGACACAAATCAGATGTCAAGAATTATAACATTCATAAACCAGTCGGAGAACACTTCAATCTCTCTGGTCACGTGATTACACACATGAAATTTGCGATATTACAACAAAAAAACTTCAAAACCAGACTCCAGCGAGAGACTGTTGAATTGGAATTCGTTTGCAAATTGGATACAATTAACTTAGGCTTGAATAGAGACTGGGAGTGGCTAAGTCATTATGCAAGGTAACCTATTTCCCCTTGTTTTTTCCTACCCCCCGCCCCTCAGACGTTCTTGTTAAACCCTGGATTTGTGCTGGAAATGGCCCACCTTGATTATCATACACATTGTAAGGAGAGTGATCACTTTAGATAAGCTATTACCAGCAGGAGAGTGGGGTGGGGGGAGAGAAAACCTTTTGTAGTGGTAAACACCATTTTTTCATGCTTTGTGTGTATAAAAAGATCTTCTATACTTTCCACAGTATGCATCCGATGAAGTGAGCTGTAGCTCACGAAAGCTTATGCTCAAATAAATTGGTTAGTCTCTAAGGTGCCACAAGTACTCCTTTTCTTCTTCCTCAGAATAGTCATTTTCACCTATGCAAACTGAGAGTAGAACACTACCAATTCAAATTGGTCATATTTTACCCCCAGTTTGCAGAAATACAAATGACCACACTATGTGTAAGGGAATGAAGAATAAGGCCTTCAGAATTTCAGACAGTAATTTCCTGCACACTATTCTTTCAGATATGGTAGGGTTTTTCCACACATACAGAATGAGTTGGAGACTCAGATCTCCTAATCCACAGATGCATCAAGATGCTCAAAGAAATTCCATTGATCCTGAACCTCTGCATTATTCCCTGGGCTTTCCCTGTGGCAGTTAAGCTCCATCTAAATCTGTGCCACCATGGGCAGCCTCCCAATAACCACACCAAAGTTGCCACATCCACCACATATCTGGGTTTCAGTGTAAGCAGGGTAACCATGAAAGATTATTTTCGCTGAGCAAGGATTACCCTCTATGGAGACATCCTTAGATTTTCAAGGAGACAAGGTCATGGAGAGTGATCATCCTTTCCCACCTTTCCTCTACTCCCAACCAACAGAACACCATCCCAATGTACTTACAGAGGAACTTCCAAGGGGCCAGGAATAGGAAGGAGTATGCCACAGAGCAACTGTTTCTCTTCTATGAACATTTCACCACATACTCCCATTACTGCCAGTGAAACTGGAGAAAAGCACTGGGGCCCAGATCCACTAAGATACTTAGACACCAAAGTCCCAGACTTAGATAACTAAGTCCTGGTTTTAGGCAACACTACAATCCACAAAAACCCGGTTAGGCTGCCACCTAACCCTGTAGGTGCCTTTATTTTTCCTGTAGACATTCCCTAGATGCTTACGTTTCTGCCTCTGGGGGCGCACGCTGCTCCGTCACTCTAAGCATCCAGATGCCTCTCTCTCAAGGTGTTCCACAAACTGGAGGAGCGCCTATCACCGATAGGGCCAATCTGGTAGGCAGCTTCTAAGCATGACTACTAGATTGGGCCCCATTCAAAATCTGGTCAGCGGTGGTATACACCTTATAACTTTTAGCCCAGGGGTTAGCGCACTCACCTGAGATGTGGGAGACCCAGGTTCAAGCTGCCCTGCTGCCAGAGGGGGAGAAAGGATTTGAACAGCAGTCACCCACACCTTCCCAGGAGAGTGCTCTAACTGCTGGACTATGAGATATTCTGATACAGGTCTCTCTCGGTCTCTCCTCAGCATTTCCACTGCATATAAATAAAGAATCTTTGGAGTAGGGGGACTGGACCCTTAGTTTCACCTGCCCTAAACTAAGACTATATAATCATTCATTCTCTCTCTCTCCCACACCCTCCATTACTATTTCATGTCCTCATACCCCCACCAAGTTATGTGTGGAGTGAGGAAGGACAAACAGGATAACCTGGGTAATTACAGCCCTGTCAGTCTGTCATCAATCCTGGGCAAGATAACAGAGTGGCTGATAAAGAAAGAATTAAAGGACGGTAATATAATTAATGCCAATCAACAGGGGTTTATGGAAAATAGATCCTGTCAAACTAAACTGATATTTTTTTGATGAGAGAATTTTGTTTGATAAAGTTTGCTGATGTAATGTACTTAGACTTCTGTTATGCATTTGACTTTGTACTGAATGACATTTTGATTAAAAACTTGAAAGATAAAATTGACGTTCTACTTTAAATGGATTAAAAATGGCTAACTGATAGATCTCAAAATGTAATTGTAAATGGGGAATCCTCAAATGGGTGTGTTTCTAGCAGGATCCTGTAGAGAATAGTTTTTTGCCCTGTGCTATTTAACATTTTTATCAATGACTTGGAAGAAAACAGATCATCATCACTGATAGAGTTTGCAGATGACACAAAAATTGAAGGAGCGGTAACTAACAAAGAGGACAGGTCACTGATACATAATGATCTGGATTGCTTGATACACTGGGCACAAGCAAACAATATGTGTTTTAATACGGCTCAGTGTAAATGTATAAATCTTGGAACAAAGATGTAGGCCATACTTACATGATGGGGGACTCTATCCTGAGAAGCAGTGACTCTGAAAAAGATTTGGTGGTCATGGTGGGTAATCAGCTGACATGAGCTCCCAGTGCGACGCAGTGGCTGAAAGGGCTAAAACAATCCTTGGATGCATAAACAAGGGAATCTCGAGTAGGAGTAGAGAGGTTATTTTACCTCTGCGTTTGGCACTGGTGTGACCGTTGCTGGAATAGTGTCCATTGCTGGTGTCCATAATTCAAGATGTTGATAAATTGGAGAGGGTTCAGAAAAGAGCCATAAGAACAATTAAAGGATTAAAAACATGCCTGATAATGATAAAATCAAAGAGCTTATTTATTTAGCTTAAGAAAGTGAAGGTTAAGGGGCAATTTGATCACAGTCTACAAGTACCTATACGGAGAACAAATATTTAATAGTCAGCTCTTCAATGCTAGCAGAGGAAGATATAACATGATGCAATGGCTGGAAGCTTAAGATACACAAACTTAGACTGGAAATAAGGCATAATTTTTTAAACAGTGACAGTAATTAACCATTGGAACAACTTACCAAGGGTCATTGTGGATTCACCATAACTGAATTTTTAAAATCAAGATTGGATGTTTTTCCAAAAGATCTGCTCTAAGAATTATTTTGAGAAAGCTCTATGGCTTGTGTTATACAGGAGGTCAGACTACATGATCATACGGGTCCCCTCTGGCCTTGGAGTCTATGGATCACAAACAGAGATAGTGTCTCCCTGCAGCCCAGACTCAGGTGCCTATTTCCGGGAGAAGGGCAGGGCTTAAGACAAACACCTCTTGTCTGCATCTCCAATTGACCATCTTAGGAAGTTCCCTGCCTAGCAAGCTGGATTTTGCGGATCACATTCTGAGGTGCCTCTCTCCCCCCATTCATTGTACAGGGAGTCTCTGTGCCTAGCTCAGGCATTGTGGATTGCAGCTTTGTTCCAATAATTTTTTAGATGCCTAAAAGTTAGACGTTACAATGTTCAGTGTTGCAGTGACTAAGTCCCTTTGTGATTCTGGGCCTGGGTCCTCACTCCTTATGTAAAAATACCACTGGGAAAAATTCAGACCTTGTGTAACCGGGCATAACTCTATTGCCTTCATTCGGGCTAGATTTGGCCCATTATCTCAAATGGGGACTGTGTATTTGGCCCTTAGTCAAAGCAGTTCAAGTAGTAGTTCATATTAATTTTTGTTGTTGTTGCAGCACTAACCATAATCATCTAAAAACAGAAGCTACATTGTGTTCAGAGCAACATTTGTGCAATGGAGAGCTAGTCTGCAGATATTTACCAGAACTGTAAAATATTCAACATTCCTGTAAGTCTTAACAGGAAACATTCCTGTCTCTTCTTCACCACCACTCAGAACACCAAAAATAAGGTGATGGAAGTTTATTATCTGAAAGTAAAACAAGTCTAGCTTTATTACAGTTATAATTTTCAATACATAGCATCACCTATAGTTAAGGCTGCTTAAGTCTTTGCATTTTTAAAGTGTCTTTTTTCAATTGCTTACAACTTTCCAAAATTTTCATATTTGAGGATGAAATTTTCCAGAGCTGATCTTTGCCCAGAAGTAGATGTCTTGATTGCTGGGGGCAGGTTTAAAATATTTCAGTTGAAATAGTTCATCCATTTTTGTGTATGAAGATACTTGAGAAATAACTTCTGCTATTATAGTAGAACCTTGATTTTATGAATATCCATCTTATGAATGACCAGTTATATGAACTATTTTGCTCCCACCCCCATATAAAAATCATATAAAATCAATGTCAATGCAAAATAAATCAACATCCCTTAATGTCCTGATGCCTTCAGTGCAAAGTAAGTATAAAATGCTACCAAATCAGAATGAAAATGTTTTACCCTTATGTTGCAGTCTCACTACAGATGTAATGACTACAAAATGTGCAAGGTGCCGG